ACATTTAGCAGAATAAATTCTGTATACCATTTCTCTAATTTCATGGTGCAATCCATAAGCACTCCAGTTAATTCATGATCACCATACTCTTTCCAGTTTTACTGCCACTGCTATTGCTATTACTATTACTAGCACTATTACTACTTTTTTTCAAGGAACAAGCAGGATTTTATTTATAAGCAAATCAATATTTCTTGCTGTTTAATTTTATCCTCAGAGAATTTTGCATCTTGCACACTTTGATAGAAATATAAGCTCATTAACGGAATGTTTTTTAACCAGACCATTATGACTTCATTTTGAATCAAAGCTCATTAAAACAATTATAATCAAATGTTTCATTTTCTTTTTCCCTTGTGAGGAACAGCTGAAAAGGTTATGTTTGTTTTTCTTAATCTGAATCTCTAGGGCTATATAAACAGACTACACGGACTTATTTGTGCTCCTTCTCCTTTACACTTCAGGGTTTGAACAGCAGAGCATGTTCTTAGGGCACTAAGAACTTGAACAGCAGAGCATGTTCTGAACAGTGAGCACTGTTCTTAGGGTCATCCACAAATTGTTGCGGCTCAAAGAATTGCAAACCTGACCACAGGAATATCAGCAACATTTCTTGTGTCAGTGCCCAGTGTAGATTGGCTCAGTACCAAGGCTCACCACCAATGGTCCAACCAGTAATGATCTCTTTATTCCACATCCTGGACAGATATTTAAGACTGTGTGCAACAGGGAAGGGGCTGTGAGGTGTTTTCCTTTTCTTGGTTCATCTGTGGGACAGACACTCTTATCAGGAACAGCATTTCTCTGCATGTCTTTGCATCCGTGCAAAAGGACCTGGAGATCCTTGGCTGGATCTGCTCATGTTTGGTAGGTTGAGGAATCAGATGTAGGCAACTGCATGTTGACATTACTTAGCACATACCCTACTGAGTCTTAACATTCAAAAAACTGTGCTTAACTCCTTGGTTTGGGAATATGACTCTCAACACTGAAAGAATATTATCTTCATATGGGAAACAGTGATTATTCTTTTAGCTAACAGATAGTTAACAAATATACAGCATTTGCAAGCCAAAAGAACAGCCATTACCTACAGGAACTCCTGCATCACTTATTCCAAACATTAACTGTTTTTCAGTCATGAGACAGAAATTGTCTAAAAGCTGAAAACTCCATATACAATGTTTTATTTCCTCAGGAAGGACAGCCTTGTCTATTTCTACTGATAATGTGAATCTCTGCTGCCTTGATGTAGCACAGTATTTCTTTAGACCACTCTAACCAACATCCACAGGAAACAATCATCCAATGTACAAAGTTGTACAATGACTAACCATCAGTGACGCAAATGTGAAAAGAAAAATGTCATCTTAAACTAATGCAGTGTTTTGTTCCTAGTAATTGACCTAGAATCTGACCTCTGATAGTGAAGGAACAGAAAATACATTATAAGTGGCTATATTTTGAAGTAAATTATAGTTGAGGAGTTCCCTAGTGACAGACGTATTTATCACAGACTGATGTTTCCCACACAGGTGTTTATTACCCCAGAATTTCCAGTGTCCTTCCTCCATTCAGAAGAAGAGGAAGGTCAAGAGCACCAGCATTCAGTTCATTTTGTAGTCAATCTTCCTTCATACCCAGAGTTACATTTCTCTTTGCAATTGGGCCACTTAAGTGGAAAGCAAAAAAGGACCTTTTCTTCTAGACTGCTAATGGTTAGTCCCCCTGGATTTGGGGGTTAAAACAAATGCTTTCTGCTCTACAACCTTTCTCTTCAACGTAGTCTAAACAGATAAGACAAAAATGGGCATAAAGTTTATGTATTTTCAGCACTGTGAAGGACTGAGTTGTTCACTCTGCTTTCCTAGAACTGCTACATGTCCTTTTCTAATTTTCAATTTATGGGCCATTTTATAGGTTATGAAAGTTTGGAGCACAATCTCTCAGTGGTAGGTACAAATGTCTTTTACAACATCCTCTGAATGATCATATTCGCTAGCTACAAGCATGGATATGTAATTCCACAGTTCCATGCTGTTGAATGCTATATTGGTGGTATTATTACTTCAACCAGGATGATTATGACCTTTTTTTCCCCTTCTTTTCCTTTTATTCTTTTCTTATCTTAAGAGAGACCAAGAGATTTCAGAAACACAAACCAGAAGTGTACGTGGATCTCACTGCACATTAATGGCAACAGGAGCTATGCTAATTCTAAGTGGCAAAATATTTGATTGTTTTACTGTAGACAGCTCTTACAATGTTGACATGTAAAAGTCAGGTGGGCAAGCAATGCTGTTTTAAGTGACTTCACCTCAGTATTTAATAATGCACTATCTCTGAAAATCCAGAGAAAGCTGTATCATGAAACAAAATTAAAAAAAAAAATAATAGTATTAGGAGAGGGATAGTCTACATTTACTGTGTCTTTCCTTTGATCATTTCCAAATGCAGACCTGGAAACCAATGGATATTAAATTTATTTCAGATTTGAATCAGTTTGTCAATCAGGTTAAAGCTGTCAGCTACACTGTCAGTCATACTTAGTACGCTGTCAGGGCTGGAGAGAAAAACAGCAGGATGGGAGTAAGGGAAGAAATAGCAATTTGGAGTATAGCTTCTTCTGCCTACACTAGTCTTTTCTTTGGTCCCTCTTCAGTGATAAGCTGCTTGCCAGAAAAAACATGTGACACGTGACATGAAAAGCGTCAAACTAGTTTTTTGTGTGTACGAATTTAGTTATTATTTATTTTTAAACATGATGTTTGGGAGGTCTGTAACTGGAGGATTTGGCAATGGCTAAATCTAAGGACTGTTTCTTTGACAGCAGTGGGTGGTGATGCTCTATTCACACCTCTGCAGGTTCTGCGAGTCAATGTCATTTTGTCCACTCACCAGCTTCCAAATGCAAATCTCTTGCCTCTAGAAAGATGCTTCTCCCTTCTGTCAGCTTTGCCTGGAGGATCTGACAAAACAAAGAACGCAAACCTATTCTTTCTTTGTTGTTGCTGTTAATTACTTGTTTTAAGGAAGGCAGCAATCAAGAAAGAAATGACCTACTTGCAGATGCTGAGAGCATTTAAAATGTTTAAACGTAGGCAGTATGGCCAAATCAAGACATGAAGTTCATGGATCAGGCTCCACAAACATAACCCATAAATAATGATATTAAAAAATATATATTATTATCTCATCTGTCTTCTGACTTCACCAATTTTTCAGTACATGAGAGCAAATCTTCAAAATTTCTTCATCAAACACAAGTACTTGAGCCTCTCCTCTCCTCTCCTCTCCTCTCCTCTCCTCTCCTCTCCTCTCCTCTCCTCTCCTCTCCTCTCCTCTCCTCTCCTCTCCTCTCCTCTCCTCTCCTCTCCTCTCCTCTCCTCTTCTCTCTGAAAGCTGAGGCTGTTAAATTTTTTTGCATTATGCTGGGAGCTTTGGTTTTCAAGAAAAACATCAAATATTACCGGACTTCTGATAACATCACAAGAGCTGGCAACAAAGGAATAGTATCTATAGATTGAAATAGTCTTTCCCAGGCACTTTAATAAGGCTTACACATCTTATATTCTAGCTGTGCTTTAATTAAAACCAGTTATTTTCCTTTGTATGAAATATATTAAACAATTCAGTACTTAAAAAAGAAAGCTATCAGGATGCTTTTCTAACACTGGGTTTAAAACCAGTCATAATCAAAATTTATTTGTACAAATCACTTCAGTGGGAAAACAGCCTCCGAATTGTGCATTCAATTAAGTATCATACCAAACCTTTGTTATCTTCATGTTAGACCTGGCTAGTGTCTATGTACATTGTTAGTCAAACAGAACAATATCATAATCACAAATAATTCTTATTTCTCATGAAAAGTTGACTCAAAACAAAACCCTGGAGGTCTGCATTTCTGCTGGTACTTGTAGTTGTCTGAAAGCAAAAGCAACTTTAATATTGCTGGTTAAATTGAAGTAAAATATTAACTTATGAACTTTCTTTGACTTCACAAGATCATGTGGCATTTTTGCCTGTTATCTGAAATCCTTAATAATGCATTAGGCGAATGAAATTTCAGAAAAATTTGTTTGAGATTTCTTCTTTGGCTTCATCTGCAGTTCTCAATGAGCAATGCATCATCCAAACACATTATAGAAATTAGAGTCTGCATTCCATTATGCATTCAGACATTTATAGCAGAATGATAAACCTGTCTGTACCTCAGGGAGTTGGCTTTATAAATCAAGGCTTCATATAAAAAGATTACATTCCTATTTGAAATTATTGGGGTTCTATATCTTCTTTCTATATCATATTATAATAAGCTTCAGAAAAGGAAAAGGGAACAGAATAAATGAGGCGGAGGAAGTGACGTGTTGTTAGAAGCAAACTGTACTATTATTTTTTTTTATTTTCTGAAAAAAAGCCTACCTGAGATTTCTAGAATTCTAAATTTCAACACTACGATTCTAGAGCTTATACAAAAGAAACAAACACCACTTATCTTTCTATTTTTGAAACATAACTGCTTCTGTAGTACCAGAAAACTTCAGAAGGTTTTCATGTATTTATCATCACTGAACTCCACTGAGGGAGGCAGACACTGCTATCGTTAGTTACACATGCACTATAGAGAGCCAGTGTTAAAGAGCAACTGCTCAGGTCTATCAGGCAAGCACTGATAGAGCAAGGTTTTAAGCCAAAGTCTTCCAGGCCCCACAGGAGCTGAATGGGAAGAGCAGCCACAGAAGCATCCATTCACCAGCAAGCAGAACACCAAAGGTCAGTGAACATGGAAGGTATTGGGTAAGATATTTTCTGATATGGGAATACTAGAGGTGTTACAGCACGATGTGTTCCATTCCCATGTGAGGTGTATAGCAGGCTAGATACACCTGCCAATCTCAAGAATTGGAGATAAGTTGGTAAATGCAATGAGAAATTAGTTCACAAATATGCACACTCAGCTGAAATTTTAGCTCCTTAGACAGAGAGTACATACTCACCTGAGCACATCCCTATGTCTTTTTTCCACGTCAATTTAGACATATCTCAAAACTAGCCTTGCAGTTCCTGAGCTGATTATCCTGCAGTGTATGGTCAAACTGTGATGATTGCCACTAGGTGAATGGAGGAGCAGAATGATATTCTTCTGTGTAAAAAAAAAAAAAATAGGTCTTCATTATGATTTCTGGTTGGCATAATGCCCTGTAGAGAACATTTGGTAATTTTATGTTAAGAAGGGGGTTTACATGGAATGATTTCCTAGGCTAAGACATTTTCTAATATAATGAAAACAGATGATATAGGAAATGGGAGAGAAAATGTAAATATACCTATACTTTTTTCCTTATACATTTTAACATTTGGTTTCATTTAATTTACAACGGAATTAATTCATAATGCAGTCTGTTTCTCAGCAAACTTGAATATTTGCTGAGAAGCTATCACAAAATTTATCTATATTCTGACCATACCCAATAAACGAAAGGTAAGGGATGAAGTTTAGGATGGAACTTCATCAGCATAGTAAATATGGAGATAGGAGAATGTCCAAAGTCCCCTGGACTACTGCTGACTAAAATGTACATGTAAACTGGTAAAATTTCTTTTTTTTTTTTTTTTTTTTTTTAATTATTATTATTTAGAATTCTGCATCTTAATTTCATAACTCAGAAAAAGAAAGAAAGAAAGAAAGAAAGAAAGAAAGAAAGAAAGAAAGAAAGAAAGAAAGAAAGAAAGAAAGAAAGAAAGAAAAGAAAGAAAGAAAGAAAAGAGAGAAAGAAAGAAAGAAAGAAAGAAAGAAAGAAAGAAAGAAAGAAAGAAAGAAAGAGAGAAAGAGAGAAAGAGAGAAAGAGAGAAAGAAAGAGAGAAAGAAAGAAAGAAAGGAAGGAAGGAAGGAAAGGAAGGAAGGAAGGAAGGAAGGAAGGAAGGAAGGAAGGAAGGAAGGAAGGAAGGAAGGAAGGAAGGAAGGAAGGAAGGAAGGAAGGAAGGAAGGAAGGAAGGAAGAAAGAAAGAAAGAAAGAAAGAAAGAAAGAAAGAAAGAAAGAAAGAAAGAAAGAAAGAAAGAAAGAAAGAAAGAAAGAAAGAAAGAAAGAAAGAAAGAAAGAAAGAAAGAAAGAAAGAAAGAAAGAAAGAAAGAAAGAAAGAAAGAAAGAAAGAAAAAGAAAGAAGGAAATGCATAAACTCCTGAACTGCTTTTCTCAGGGCTCTAATAACTTTGTCCAATGAGTGGCCCAAAATATTATTGAAACAGAATAATCATATCTTCTATGTCCTTGAATTATACCATTGGTTTGTGTATCTATATGTTATTTTATTCACTGATTTAAACAGAAGCTCTTGAGTACTGCAAATTATACAAGCCCTAACAAAACCAAAGGATTCCATGGATCTGAAAACAGCCAAAAGACATTGGTGCATATGACACAAGACCTTCAAGTCAAAAAAATCTGGTTTCCCAGCTTCACTTTTTGGTTTTCTTAGCATTTCATATTTCTATATGTAGAAGAAAAGATTTCATAGAATCTACTTACTTTTTTAAAAACTCGAACTACTTCTTTATTGTATGACACTTAGATACGTTTTGTTAAATGTAACTTGCTATCATATCACCAATAGCTGAGGCTGATAACTGATTTGATCAATAGAATTAATTTATTCTGCATTGTTCACTTAATCTGGGATTTAGAATCAGAAAGTCGTGGAAGCAAAGTCTGCATGATGAATCCTATATTACAATCAATAATCCTTACTCTTTCCTAGTTCATTACAATTAGAGTTGTAGCACAATATTGATAAGGACTCAGGAAGTGTAACATATACATTATTGATTTCCTTTTGTGCTTATTTTTTTTATTTTTACAGTACAAAATACTCCCAAGGGATGCAAACAAAGACTAAGGAGGCCAGAAGTAGATGCTGTACCAGCATTACAGAACAAAATATTTCCGAGTATGCAGTCTTAAAACCATAACCATTAATCTTTCGATGAAGTGCATCTCTGAGTGTGGACTCATAAAGCATATAATAAAACACAGATACACCACAACAACTGAAGGCCTGCCTTTTCTCAGCTGAGGGACTTAAGACAGCAAAATAAGAACAGAGAAATGAGCACTGGGTAAATACAAGAATAATAGACAGCAAAATCACTTTTTGCTCGTAGCCCTTACATTCCTTTAATATTTTGAGTTTTCCAGGTAGCATTCTTACACTTTGGTTGACCAACATTGCCTACTATCAAGCATAATTTAATTGCCTAAAACTTTAAGAACATTCTTTTGTCTGGGTGAAAATCTTCCACATGAATTCATGAATATGGATACACATACGAACAGAAATGGCCATATCTGAAATGGGACATGTGGAAAGCAATAGCTTCTTTTATTTTATTTTTCACTGAAGAAATGACCAACGTGTGTTCCCTGAAAAGTTGCGATTACTCAGCTTCTAAGAAATGTGACTGATGGTTGACAAAGGTTGGCACTTACACCACATGTGTGGCATCTGCTGTTCTTGGAAAAGTACACCCAAATTTTGACAAAATCATAAACCAATTTTACAGCTCACAGCTGCCAACAAATTCAGCGGATACTGAATTTTTGTATAAAACTACTAAAACAACAGAAATCTGCATACCTGACTTCCAACTCTGCCCCATATACACACACAGGTAACATAGCTTTGTAACCTTCTTTTTCGTGAAGCAATGTTGAGGTTCAGATGAGGGAATATTAAAAAGTAAATAATAATGTATTTCAGAAAAGTCTTAAGCAAAGCGAAGGTGACATACTGAGGAAAGAAAACTAGATACCAGATATCATTAATTACCAGCCATCCTGTGCACTGAATGAGATAGTCATTTCTGAAATGACTATGATGTGGTCATATAATTTAAGACCGAATAACAACATGTAGGCATCTTTTTTCTGCTCTTACCCTACTTTAAAGTGCTTCACTTTGTGATCTTATCACTGTATTCTTAATGAAAGTGGCATGGTAATCATAGCAAACAAAAGCCATCAGAGAATCTGGATTTCTGTGGGGATCATTCATTTCAGCAGGCAGGAACTGGGCAGACAGGCCTATAGCCTTGCCTCTCTGATGCTCTTTAACACAGAATGTGTGGCGTGTGTGTAACTGATATATAAATAATATAAGAAAGACGTTGTTCTTGTGTGAGAGAAAAATCCCATTGCAGTATAACATTCCCAGATGTTATTTTTCTAGCGCAGCTAGTATATGCAGAGAACAGCCTCCCCTTAAATAGCTTGCAAAACTTCTAGTGCTGTTCACTGCATTTCTTGTTTCAGTCACCAGAAACCAGCCAGAGCAGCAATATGTATATAACTAGGTCTTGCATGTTTGTGTATTTTTAGTAAACACAGTTATTTGGTACCCAGCTGTGCCCCTGTGGTTTTTTCATATTGTTTTTGTTGTTTAAAGATCAAAAAGCACAGGCATACACCATGCATTGTAAAGAAAGGAAATGAGGAGGCAAAACTTAGATAATTTAAAAATCTCTTTGGCACTTCTCCAAAACACAAAATACAACTCTAGAGATATGCTTGAATATTACATTACGTACCTTGTGCAGAGCCTGGATCTCTGCCTTGTTTGGTTTACATTATTCAGACTTCCAGATAGCAAAACTCTCAGCATTGGCTTCCACAATCTTATTATCTTCCGTACCATCAGCTACATAGGCCTCAAAGAAGCAATTTTTAACTTTCAAATGTGACTAATGTAACCATTTAACTCTAAAAGGCCTTTTGTTTCATGTCTGAATGTGAAGATGTTTTTCTTCTAATCTTCTTTCCTTGACAATAATGTGAACTGTTTCACAGACTGTCGAGAACTTTGGCTCAGTGAGGAGTTATTACTGATTTTTCCATTTACTCTGTGGGATCTTAAATCACATGAAAATATCTCACAAAGGAAGAAAAAGTACTTTATAGGCCCAGAAAGGGATTGAGATGTGTAAAGGCAGTATCTGTTTGAAATGCTCTTCATTTGAGCAAAATGGCAGGAACAAGGAAGTTGCTTCACATACATACATACAGCTCAGAACTGAGATGGTCCTGACCAAGGAGTTAGAGGTGAAACCTTAGCGAAGTTAAGCCATATGAACAGAATTTTGATAGGGACCAACAACAAGAACAGTAGACTGCAGAACAGCTGGTTATGAGAGGAAAACAAGTCAGAAAGGTGTATGAGGAATAGTTCTGAGTTTAGCATAGGGGAGAGGATGTCTTTGCATCCAGTGTTCACAACAGGCAAACTCAGATTTATGAGCAAAGCAATTCTCTATTGTTTGTTTCTGCTTGGTACCAAAACAGATGTAAGAGCAAGAAATGTCTCATCTCTACTTCAAAATCTATATTTCCTGAATGAAATAACGTTTCAGTTTTGAATCTAATTTTTCACTTGAGCCAAAAATGAAAATACTATTATGATGGAGTTAAACATAGAAAAAATAGATGCAGCTCCGTGGTGCTCATTTCCAATATTCTTGAGAATTATTTTTTATAAAAAACAGAGTGAGCACAAGACAGCAAATCCTTACATAGCAAAATATTCAGTGATGATTTCTGTGTGTGGTCCACCTGAGGAAAGGTTTCTGGACGTGGGCATGGAAGCCGTTTTTACTGTCATATACTCCCCCATTTAACAACAAATAACAATAAAACAAATAAATAAAACACATGAGGATGGTTGATGCACTTCCCTAAATAATGCAAATGCCACAAGTATTACAGATTATCATATCTTAATCTTGGTAAGATATTTGTAGATCAAGACTTTTTCCAAGTAAGGTTTCACATAAAAAATGTGACCTCAAGATGCATACAAAGTTCCTGTTGACAACAAAGGAACCTGACTGCAGAAGGCAAGATCTGAACCATGATAAAGCCATGGGAGAAACTCTGACACTGGTACTGGATTTATTTAAGTTCATTAGTACACTGAGCCAGCTATTAAAGTACAGCGTGTGCACAGGGGTAGAGAGAGAGATGCACTGAATAGAATGTGGAGCAAGTGCTCTAGAAGAAAGATGCAACGCGACATGTTAGAAAAACAAACATCTGGCATACATTTAAACAAAGTTGTCTGGATGAACTGAAAAAGCAGTCACTCAGAAGAATCTGG